GTGATCTGCTGGGCTAGTAAGCTCATTATATGTGGTTAATATTTCAGGTGCAGAGTCTCCCGCGTGATGCTTCTTTGGTTGCTGTAGCTTTATTTTGTAGCCTTGGTAGACTTCTGTTTTGTAGCCGTATTGCAATTGTATATGACCTTTTGGACGCTTCTGCTGATTGTATATGTTGATATGTGAATTATAATCGCTGCTATTTTCTTCTCTGTAATGTAATTATCTCTGGCTCTGGATTGACACATGTATGGATTGAAACGAACAACTGATAGAAAGATATCAAAAAAAGAAAAAAAGAAAATGAACGATTAGATGAATCTTTTCGCTACACGGATCTTGGGGTCGTCACAAATGTAACGTACCTTTAATATATCGGAGCAAGCGTTTGAGCAAGTAGAAATGTTGCGGAAGAGGTTCGTGCATATGTTGAGAGAGAAGATTGACACTGAATGATATATCAGGTCGAGTTAAAGTTAGGTATTGGAGAGCACCCGTAATGCTTCGGTAGAGAGCAGGATCGGCCGTGAGAGTATCTGAGTTGAACGTGGAGGGAAGCTTAGTACACGTTGGGTTTGATAGCGGGTTGCAGAGCGTGAGAGCCGCCTGCTGTAGTATGTTGTAAGCATACATTGCCTGCGAAAGGAAGCAAGAGTCATTAGATTTAGAAATTTTAATGCGCAATAATTCATGAACTTCACCCAGATGTTTCATGGAGAACTCAGTGTTGAGTTTGGCTAGAATATGGTTTATGCATTGATGATTATTTCCGGTAATCAGGATATCATCCACATAGATGAGTAAGAAAAATTTAACTTGATCCTTTTGGTAGAGAAGTAACGATGGGTCAGCTTGACTATGCGAGAAGCCGAGGGTGAGAAGGAATGAGGTGAACGTGGTGTACCATTGACGAGGAGCTTGTTTCAAACCGTAGATGGCTTTGTTTAAGCGACAGACATGGTGTGGACGAGAGCTATCTTCAAAGCTTTTAGGTTGCTTAATGTAGATGGTTTCCGACAAGGTGCCATGTAAAAAGGCATTGGCAACATCCAGTTGTTCTACAGGCCAATTGTTGTACAGAGCGATTGCTAGCAGTATTCGAATAGTGGGGAGCTTTACAACCGGACTGAATGTTTCGGTATAGTCCGTTCCAAATTCTTGATTGTTGCCTTGAGCAACTAATCTGGCTTTATATTTTGCAATTGATCCATCCGTATGAAATTTCGTTCGGTAGTTCCATCTACTTCCAAGAATGGATGTGTTGGCTGGAGGTTCAACTAACATCCAGGTGCCTTGTTTTTGAAGAGCCAGGACTTCAGCTGCCATTGCTAGACGCCAATGCTCGGATTTGGACGCCTCTGTGTATGAAGTAGGATCTGATGTGATGTCCGGATGGTTGTTAAGGTGAAATAGGTTTAGGCGGTTTGGAGGCTTCAGTGACCCGGTCATGCTTCTGGTGGTAATAGGATGGGAATGAGGCAATGGTGTCGGCGGACTGTGAGAGCACTCAGATGTAGCAGAGGAAGTAGACTGGCCTTGGAAGGAGGCTTCTAGGTTAGGTTGAGGAATACAATCTGCCAGAGAAGGTTGGACACGAACATTGCCTGCAGTATTTGAAGATAAGCTAATAGACGCTGGTGTTAGTAAGAGAGGACAGATATCTGTGGAATTAGTTTGAACAGGTGAAGTTAATTTAAAAAATGGAAACTTGAGCTCATTAAAACGAACATGATGAGAAACTATTATCTTATTCGTATGAATATTAAGACACCTGTAACCTTTGTACACTTCAGAGTAGCCAAGAAAGACGCATGGAAGAGACGTGGGTTGCAGCTTAGTGCGATTCTGAGCTGGAAGTAACAGGTAGCATTCACACCAAAAAATCTTGAGGTCAGTGTAGACTGATTTCTTGTTGAACATAAGCTCGAGAGGAGATTTATTGTTTGTGGTATGAGAGGGTAACCTGTTAATAAGATATACCGTAGTGGTGACCGCATTGGGCCAGTGGACATGAGGCATCGATGCCGTAAGGAGAAGAGTGCGAGCTGTTTCAATTATGTGACGATGCTTCCTTTCGGCCAAATCATTTTGTTCCGGAGTATATGGACATGATAATTGATGCGTGATACCTTGACTGGTTAGGTAATTTTTGAAAACCGTATTGACAAATTTAGACCACCCCCCCCCAAATGTGAGCAGCCGACGAAGATGCCGAGAGAGCTTGATGACTCCTTGACGGAGAGGCCATGGGGATGTTGTAGAGACCTCCTTTACATGGTCCTCGTAGGATAATTTGCTGCGTCGCTAGATCCTTCAACGTAAAACCGGAGGGATCAAATATAATAGAGATGTTATTGTCTCTTGTTAATTGAATTTTAAAGATGGAGTGTGAAAAATTTGTGATAAATGCAGCTTACGGTTAGGGGTCGGTAGAATACCCGTCCTAGTGTGAGCAATATTGACGGAAGAGCCATCGCCAACAGTAATATTGTCCTGACCGAGATATGGTTGAGCCAGAGACAGGTTGTCCAAAGAGTTAGTAAGGTGAGACGACGCTCCTGAATCCAAGAACCAATTAGTTTCGGAGGAGTCCGATCCGGCCACTAGCGCCATATTTGCATTCTTGGTAGACGGTATATACTGAGGATTGAGTCTATGCCAGCACGTTTGAGCCGAATGACCCTTCTTGTAGCAGATTTGGCAAAGAATCGCAGCATTTGGATTGTGACGGGTTGTAGGTGGAGCGATGGTTTGATCGGTAGAATTGCTGCGCGTGGTGGAATTGTAGTAGTTCTTGTTTCTAGATCGGCGCCCTCGACCTCTGTTGGTGAACAGAGCCATGCTGGGGTCATGACCGGTAGAATAGCGAGCTGCATCGGATGCTAGATTTATTTCTTCGCTTAGAAGAAGAGGATAGATCTGATCAAGAGAAAGAGAGGAGGAAGTAGTTCGGATCGTAGTTTTAAAAGATTGGTAAGGTTGAGGGAGTCCATTTAGAATGTAATGGGTGATGTCCTATGGATCCACAGAAGAACCACCGGCCGCTATATGATCAACTATTGCCTTGATTTCGGAGATGTAGTCCGTCATCGAATTGTTCTTGAGGGAGACATTATGCAAAGAATTCTTTAACTGAATTATTTTTTAGCGATTTGTGCCTGAAAACGGGTTTCAAGGGCAGCCCAGATCTGAGACGTGGAGTATAGCGAAATGACATAGGGAAGAATCGACGAGGATATAGTGGAGCAGATAGAAGATGAAAGGTTTTGATCCGTTAAAAGCCATTGAGAGTAGCTGGGATTAATCGACGATGAGCCGTCAGCATGATGCAAGAACTAAGATGGAGGCGGAATAGTGGAATCAAGAAAATGTAGAAAACCATTTGCTCTCAGAGTTTTGAGAATCTGAGATTTCCAGATGAGGAAGTTTTCCGGCGCAAGAGGAGAGGTAACAAGATTGCGAAGGTTGGAGACAACGAATTTCAGAGTTGCCGGAATCGTTGAGTCGTCGGGCTGCGGACTGGCGCTCCGTTCTTGGAGGCGCGAAGAGGCGGAGTCGTTCATTTGTTCAGGATCGGAAGCCTATTCCTGATACCATGTAGAAACGTAACTCACATATGCAGCTTCTTGAAGAAGACAGAACAAACTAAAATATTATTGTATATCATAATGCCTATTACAAAGGACGCCTACACTTATATAGAGCCAGGATAGACTTATTACAACTAATTACAAAGAACCCATAGAGAATTCTAGAAGCAATGAAATACTAACATATACATTTATTTATATATTCTAATAGTAATGACTATTGTTGATATATTATGATGAAATGCAAAGTAGATGGAATTATCATGATGGGTACCTGTTTATCTATTATGTGCATATCATCTAGTTGTTGTTAATCAATCACCACCAATTCCATGGACACTAAGGTTTATACTAAACTTTTTAGTCTCTAGTCCCTCCTCTAAGGAGAAAAATCAAACATATTACCAATAATCTTAAAGACAACTCAAACACTTCAAAGCTTTCTCAACTTCTATCATATAAATCATCTTTCATAATCCATGTCTACTAAATTGTATAAATGCCCTACCTAATTACAAGAAGAGCCATCCATTATAACTCACGTCATATATTGATGGAATTATCTCAATTGGCTAGACTCATAGTCTTTCCTCTTTGTAGGTTTCTATGTAAAAAAATATGTTATCCTATGAGCTAGTCTTGACTTACTTTATGTATGGGTGAGTGAGATCTTCATACAAAACTAATATGATAAATTTACTCTTTAACGATGTGAACATTCTAGCACGCAACATAAACTATATCAATGTGAGATATAATATCAAGTAAATCACTTTTAATCATAAATAATATAATATTGCATAAAAAACACTAAACAAAATTTCTCTAAATATAATTTTCAACTTCAAAACTTTTAAAGTTCACTTCATAGCCCTATCTACATAATGGGATAATGCCCTAAAAAATATATTCATAAAATGAAAATGTGCAGAATCACATAAGCATGTATAGAATATTTGCTTGTATTATATAAATCATGACATAAAGAATGCTAAATTGTGTCGGATTTATATATTTGGTTTAATTGGTCTAATTGGCCTAAATGTCCCAAAAAAAAGGCACTCTTTTGAAATCATATATAGCACTAATCTAGTATTAATTTAATGGCATTAATGGGCTTTGGGGGAATTTTATTTAATAATAAATTTGCCCGGTACAAAGTCTCCTCGTTCCAAAGCCCAATCCATGTCGTTCCAAATTCCGATAACCCAATTCTATGAAATCGCATATAGCGCTAATCTAGTATAAATTTAATGGCATTAATGGGCTTTAGGGGAATTTTATGTTATAACAAATTTGTCTGGTACAAAGTCTCCTCGTTCCGAAGCCCAATCCATGTCGTTCCGAATTCCGATTAACCCAATTCTATCGGTATTTAGTCAAATGAACCGAGTCATACTTAAAGCTGTAGATTCCTCGATTAGCTTCGATCCTTCTCTCAGACCTATACTTCCAATTTCGTCTCTGTCAAGTTTCTCTACTCCTCACGGATCTTGGATTCGAAAGTTCTTTGCTCTATTTTCTCTATTCAGTGTGAGATAGATTTCTCAAATCCCTCGACCGTGTTTTCTTCTTCTGATTCGACAAGGTTTGGGTCCTGTGCTCTGCAGCTGTTGAGATCCATGTTCATTTGGGTGCAATGGATCCCGCTCTGAATCAGTCCAACCAAACGGTAGAAGAAGATGAGTGGGGTAAAATCTCTTCTTTTCTCTTTTGCGTTTGAATATTGGTCATTACTCATTATCTTGTCTAGGGCTATATTTTATGGTTTGATTTTCGTTTTCAGAAAATTTGCATCTTTGAGAAACTTTCCTCGGAGTTTGTTTTGAATTTTGTTTTACATGCTTGAACTTTTCCTTCTATCGCTGGATGTGTTTGTGATGAGCCAGGTCAAGTGCTCTTCTGTGTCTATAATCGATGAGGAAAATTCTTAAAAATCTTATTTATTATTTATTTTTCGTATGGACTAGTGATTTGGTTAGATTTAACTGCATATTAGTGCTGGAAATATTAAATTTGATGCTTCTGAAAAATCAGTCCATTTTTATGAGACAACTAATTTTCACAGTAACAATCATGGAATCTGGAATGACTAGTGATTGACGATAATTCATAAGTAAATTCTGGTTGACTTGAGCGCAATGTGTTCTATCCGCCTACTTGAAGACTTATCATACTTACGGCTGTTATTTTAAGATGCTATGTTGTACTTCAGATGAAGTATATTGATTAAATGACTTAGTAATGTTGTTTTGTGTGAATTTCCTTTTTTTAAATTGTATTTGTTGATATTTGACTTTTATAGCATTAGGGCAGTAATTTGGCATGGTTTAAAGGTAGTGTTGAATATTGAATGAAATAACACACTCCGGTGGCTACTTATGAGATATTGTTTATTTGAGTAGTAACTTAGAGGTTGGAACTTGATAATTTCTAAAGTATTGGAGGTGAAAAGAAGAATGGATGTTACCACAGTGAAGGGGAAAATATGGACGGAAATTTAAATCCAATTTTGATTTGAAGGTAAGCTACTATGATACATAGACACGGACACAATGACATGGGCACGGATATGGGCTATGTCAATTATTGAAAATATAGAACACTGATAGGGGTTGGACACGATATCATAATTTATATATCATAAAAATAGCGTATAAAAATTAAATAAACAAAAAAATAATAATAATTGAGAAATAATAAGTAATTTAACTATGAATTGTGCTTAAAATGATTAATATTAGGATGTCGAGAGTTAGACATTGATATCGTGTCAAGCATCAAATGGAGAGATAAAATTGCTCTCGATAGCCATATATCGTTGTTGTGTATTGGGCATCAGGTATTGATTTCAAGATGGCGCCAGTCGTCGATCTCGAGATGATGTCAGTCATCGATGTTAAGATTACATCAGACAAAGATGAAATTTCATTATTGCACAGGGGCATGATTATAGGTGTAGAAATTGTTGATTTTGAGCATCAATTGTTCGCTCACATGAACTGCAAGCCGAAATATCATAACATACTGTGGACCACTTATCTCCACAACCGCAACACCTAGACATTGCTCCACTTTCTCTGCAATCACAATCTGCTCCTAATGGCAACACAAAACTCTTCAACCATCTTGTCTCTCATACCTTTATATATTCCTCAAGCAGTGTAACAAAAGAAAGAATGAATATATAAACTTACTCATACAGAAAATATTTCTTCTTCCTGTTCTAGCTTCTCTAATTCACTTTCTATATTTTCCATATCTTTCTTCATGGTATCAGAGAACTAATCTTCACCGCTCCTCCTTCGTCTATCTTCGATGGCGTATCAAGACTACTCAATTATTCACCCTACCTCGTCACTCTCGGCTTCCATGGTAGAATACACTATACCTTCTCCACTCAAAAGGAAAGATTTTAGAAATAAATTCATTATCTATTTTCCTTTTAATCTTTCCGTTTTCTCTTAATCCTATTTTAGGAAAGGTTCTTATTTAATTCAATCAATCAAATCATGATGGATCGATTAATTAAAGCCTTAACTCCAAATTTCAAATCTTTCCTTTTCTCTTTATCCTATTTTGGAAAATGTTCTTATTTAATTCAATCAATCAAATCATGATAGATTGATTAATTAAAGCATTAACTCCAAATTTCAATCTTTTATTTTCTCTTTATCCTATTTTGGGAAAGGTTCTTATTTAATTCAATTAATCAAATCATAATGGATTTATTAATTAAAGCCTTAACTCTAAATTTCAAATCTTTCCTTTTCTCTTTATCCTATTTTGTGAAAGGTTCTTATTTAATTCAATCAATCAAATCATGATGGATTGATTAACTAAAGTCTTAACTCCAAATACATTGCATCTATACACTTAACCCCCCTCTCTCTCTTGGCCAAAATTCCCAATGGCCCAACCACTTAATTCCCTTCCCAAAATTAAACTCTTTCTTTGGAATTAAGTCCAAATTCAGCCTAGCCTTACCCGCCCCCTCTTTTTCCCCTTTAGGCTATTCAAATTCTTGCCAAATCAAAGGACTTTGATTTGGAAAGATATTTCAGCCTTCTCACCTAATTTCCCCCTCCAAACTTTAAACCTAATTATGAAATTATAAACCTAATTCTTCTCCAAGTATCTTCAAGGCGAGCCAAGGATCATTGCTTTCAACACTTCAACGTGTGGGAGAAATTTCATTCTCTCCAATTGAACCTTCAAAGGAAGCTACGAAGAATGACCTCATCCTCTCAACAACTTGTTTTTCGGATTTTGACAAAGGTGAACATTCTTGGAAACTATTCAAATTCTTTTCCTTTTTCTCTTGGCCAAGATCTCCAAGACCTACCTCAATTTCAGGCTCCCTCACATTGGAAATATTTCCAAAATCTGGCCCATCTCTAGCCGCCTCCTCCCTAGCAGCTTTGATGGGTTTTACTTCTCCAAATTCCCTCTAAATCTCTTCCGGGTGATGTTTTCCTGCTATCTAAGTTTGTTGCTAGAATTTCCTGCATCTACCCGTTGGTTTACCTCCAACCTGAAGGTTCACAAAAGGCTGCCTTAAGAGGTGGATGTCACACATAAGAATGAAGACCGAGCCTGATGCCACCATTACTAAGAGGTCCTGGCCAATGGCACGAAATAATCTTTCTGTTCATTAGCTTCTGCCAGTGCCTTTCGACCGTAACACCATCAGAGAAGCTCCTCCTTGCCGTTCAAAGTCAAAACAACGACCTCTCGCATGGATGGCTGACCCAGAAACGGACTACGGCTTCTCCTATGACGAGCAAGGGTTTGTTTGCATCTTACATTCGACTTTCTTCGACGTCAACCCTCGCATCGACCACACCGTGGAAGAGTACGTAGAGCACATCTTGGATACCTTGGTAGAGGCTATTGAAGAGCAACTTGGAATGTCGAGTAGAGGATTACAACTGATCCTTGACGAAGGTTTTATAATCTCTCTTTTCTTGTATTTCTTCAAGTCTAAACTCCTTATGATTTGGTTTCAGCCATGCCGATTGTGTTTGCCTAATTCTGCCAAGCTTAGTAAACATAGGAAATTGAGTGCACTTCATTTGCTTCTTATCTCATTGTTAGACTAGGGATTTTGTTGAAAGCTACTATATTTGTATGTTGTTGATTTCCTATTGCTATTTTGATGGTTTAAAGTTTTCATCATGCAACTTAGCCTAAACAGAAGTGATCGCTTGTGCATTTTATTTTATTATTTTATTTGCTAATAGTTTTAATTGTTATTACTCTAACAAATAAATCGTGCAAGCTCTTTTCAAAATCATTTCAAGCATTGTAGTCCTATATCATCTGATACCAAGAATGATGCAGACATCCGACGGTGGATGTTACTCAATGGAAGAGACGATGATCAACGGCCGATATCACTCCTTTTTTGTTTATTAATTGTATTTTGATTTAATTTTACATTTCTCGTTTTTACCCTTATTTAAGAGTCTTGTCTTATGTAAGCTCAAGAGGCAAAGCCGTCTTTTTTTAATTTCTTTTGTTTTGAGGCCTATATATATAGAGGCTCTTGCTTTTGTATTGGGATGATGGATTATTAAGAAAAGAAATTTGTTTTGCACTTTTGTTCTTCGGGAGGACGTTAGTGGGAATCCCTATGGAGGGAATTGTGGTTTCCACTAGCCGTAGGATAGGTCCGGGCTCGTGGCTTGAAGTCCCTTGGTGAAGGGCATCGTATCACCCGTTAGTTTTCGGAAGAGTCCAAAGCTCGCGGTTTTATCTCTTTTTTCTTTGTTTTGTTTTTCCTTATTTCCCTAAACCACCGCCTCCTCAAGCCCTCCACCAAGGCACCTATCCTCTCACCCCCATTACCTCCACTCCATCGCCCTACACCAGCCCCTCCCTTCCTCCTCCCTCCCCTTGGTCGAAATCCACAATGGCTCCACTCACCCGCCGGCCACCTCCTTCGCTAGCCCCAGTTCGCTCAAAAAAAAAAAATCCCTTTCCTTATTTAAGTTGTCATTATTTTGGAATGATTTTAAATTCAAATTAATATAATTTGAATTTCAAATCCATTCTCATTAATTATCTAATTTTTGGAAACCTCTTTCATTTAATTAATTAATCAATTCTGAAATTGATTGATTAATTAATTTCTAGTCCAAATACATTGAACATAGACACCCCTAGTCCCCCCTCTCTCTTGGCTGGCCCCATACCCATGCCCTCTTTAAATTTCTTCCCAAAATTAGATTAATGATTATCTTGGAAAGGTTTTGAATTTAAATCCAACACAATTTGAAATTCAAATAAATTTCCTAAATTAATTGATCTATTTTAGGAAAGTCTTTATATCAATTCCAATTCAATTCCAAATTGGATTTGAATAAAATTCTCTCCCTCAATTTAAGACTATTGAATAGTCAAGCTTTAATTTCACCCCTCCCTCTCTCCTATTTTAATAAATGCTTCTCCATTAAGGCCCCCAATATCTCTCCATTTACGGTATTAATTAAGTACCATTCCCTCCTTTTCCCATTTAATTTGAAATTCAAATTTCAAATTTTCCCTCCACCCTATCCGTTCTACATCAGTAACACTTTATCACGTAATTAGTTTAAGTTAACTTCAATGCACTAACTAATTGTAAAATAAAATTCTGATCCTGAGAGCTTTATTTGCTTCTTCCTAGTCCTGTATCATACTGATTTGA